AAATAATGATTACTTAATAACTAAAACTACCGGCTGGGAAATTACTAGTTACTCATCTTCCAGTAACTAACATTAGTGTCTTATAATTGGTCATGCTCCCAGTGTAAGCACCATCAAAATGGAAAGATATGTGGATGTCAGAATGCAAATATATGCCATAACGAAAGCAATGCTGCTGGGTGGGGCTTTCTTCTGGCAACTACTTGTTAATAGGAATGCTGGCCAGCTTATTAGTACTGTAGTAAAAAAATGAGGTAACTTGCATGGTATTTGCCTGTCCTGTACTTCAAATCAGTATGATCAGCATTTCAAGGACAACAGAAATCACACAACTGAATTAAAGTAAAAAATAGCTGCATGTTCTGTCTGGCATTGTGGTTTGATGCATCTTTAAATATATACTAACATTGTAAAAGTACAAATTTTACTTTTCAGAATAATAATCCATGTTCATTGCATTTGTAAATATCTTGGATGTGCTAAACTTCAGAAATATTTCTTTTAATGTGTCCTCTAACATGTTTCTGTAGAGTTCAGAGGCTTATGAACAGCTGAGAATTACAGTACAAGTAAAAATTTAAGGGAATGGGATTACACACCACAAAATGCTATAGAATAATAGACACATGATCTTGATCAGTTAACTACAAAAATCCTTTGAAGGATGATTAAAAATAGCTTTCTGAATTTGCTTCCTGTGGTTCCAGTTTAGTTCTAGAGAACTGCAAATGACTTCACTGGAGGAATATAGTATTCAAAAGTCATCCTTAAGGATCCTTAACAAATTAAGGCAATTAACTTTTTAATCAATTAATCTTAAATTCTGAGAGAGATGATGACAGCCACTGCTGGGAAGTATTTTCAGATAGGCTGTAAATTTTTGGCCACATGGTGAATTTGTTTATTAGTTACACCTCATTCATCACATAGAACTCATTTTTAATACTCACCTCTTCCCCACTTCTTTTTCTATACACTGTTACTATATGCAATCAGAAGAAAAGAGCAAGCCACACACTCCCTCTCCTAAGGATATTTTCTCCAAAAGAAAGCATATACTTATCTATTTAAGATGCAATTGAGGGCCACTTTAATCTTTCCTTACCCACTTTCCCATTTCAGAAGGAGCTAAATCTAAGAACATCCTCTGAAAGATCTCCTTGGGCTCTGTATCTACAACCCAACAGGCCTTCTGCTCAGTCTACCACCAGCTTGGACCAAAACCTGTTTTTATCATTTTCCAGGGTTCTTTTCAAAATCTTGACAATCTTTCAATCTTCTTCAGTATCTTTAAACATCTAAAAAAATTGTAAACCATAGGAAAGTCATAGAGTTCTCCTTTGAGGTAATAAATGCCTCAAGCAAAATATTTTGAAACTAAAGGATTAAAAAAGTAAAACAGGTAAATATGGATTTCATTTAAATTAGCTTTTAGTATGAAGCTTCAGGATTAACAGTTACATCTTTCTGTTTTGGAGGACCTCAAAAGATTACAGAATTTGTGTAATATGAGCCTTGGAATGTAACTGAAAAATTTATCTTTTTGGATCGCAACCAGGAGTTGGATGTTTTCTAAACATAAAGAGTCTGTAAATTTTTCTCCTCACAGTAACAGTTGCTGATTATATATCAAGAGCAGAATCTCAGAGTAGACAAAGAAACCTCCCAAAGGAAACACTGGGTAAAAACAAGAAGGAAACGGTAAGAAACATTTAAAAGGAATACTAAATTAAAACTAATTATTATTAAAACAAACACCTGTCTATGAATTTACTGCCAAGATTATGTACATTATTACATCTGACTGTAGGTGCTGAAAAAGCTTTTGCCAGTTTGGCAGGCTCTGTAAGGAAAATTCCATGTTACAAGTTTATTAGCAAATTTAGACAGAAGTTACCTCAGCAGATCTGTTCAGTTAAGAATATCTTGCCCTGATCATACTCTCCAGCTTTCTAAGAATGGCAGCCTAAAGGGATAATTAGGCAAGAACCTGCTTCTTCATGCAGCTTATGTATGGAAATAATTGCCAAATACCTGTTCATTCAACAATGCTTTCAACTGGATTTTAGGCAGAATATAGACAACTGAGTATAAAATTCACTATTGCATGTAAAATGTTCGTGTAATCATCCTTCTAAAAATTGATACTTTCTATGGATTTTCTTATGAAGTCTGAAATTGGGGCGGGAGGGGAATGTATTAATTATGCTGTAATGATTCACTGTTTTCTTGTCACCAAGTCTTGGTTTTTCTTTAAAAGGTGAAAGATGTGATTGAAGAAGTTGGCCTTTCTGAAAAAGCAGTAAATGGCCCCGCAGTGGTTTCTGGGACTGAATCTTCAAAGCAACAGCTTAGTCCAGAAGAAAGGCCTAGTACTATACAAGAAGATGGAAATAAACAGGAAGAAGCTGTGTTGAATGGTGTTTCATAAACAAGAGTTCCTATTTTACAGTTCTTTTACATTACATTTTACAATAGTGCTTGTATAAGCTTGCCAAAGATAGAATATGGATTGCGAGTCTTGACACCGCACTTTCAGTTCCTCCATTTTGGAAAACAACAGAGAGGGATCCTGAAAAAATCCAATGTTGAACATACTTTGACACCTACTGTGTTATAAATATCATCAGATGTGCCTTGAGAATAGTATATGTAACATTTAAATAAAAACAAATTGCTGGCTATAGGAAACGTTATTTTGTTTTCAAAATATGACAGATGTGAGGGGTTACCTAACATTACCTACTTTATGAAAGCATTAGCTGCTTTTATTACATTTTTAATAATATGCAACCACTTCTTCACCTGAGGGAAACTAGAAAAAATGCAGTCTAAAATATTTTGCACTGAATTGTAATTTCTCCATTAGTTTAGTCTGGAAACTGGTCTGTTTTAATACATGTTTTTTAAATGCTGTATGTAGTGGGGGAAAACTGCAGACCACTGGAATACATTTATTAAATTCTCAATCTGCAGGGATATTGGGTGACATTGGCAGTGACTGTTCTACATTGAGGCTTTGTTTGATTTATTTATTAAACTGTACAGTATTTAAAAATCAAACATAGCTTTAGTTAAAACACTTAATTCTGAATTAGTCATGTCCATTAAGAGATAACCAGAACTACTGAAAAGATCAATTTCCAGAAAGTTTATTCTGTATAAACTACATATGTTAGTCCTTAGAGTATTTTTATTTTTGGTTGTTTGATGTGCAATATGTTTTTGTATGCTGGTAGAAAAATAAACCTTGATCTTCCATTGGTTGATCCTTAAAACATTTGCCAGTTATCAATTTGTTATACAAGAGTTGGGATTTAAGTTCTCATGGAGGCATTATTTTTGAATGAAAGAGGATATGACAACAAATTTTTAATGGGATTTTCTGAAAGGTTTATGCAGCTGGCAAGCATTGTCCCTCATGTGAGTTGCAGATCTAAACGTCTTACCTTTTACTGCTTATTGCATGGAAAACAGTAATAGAACAATTTAGGGGAAAAAATGGTTAAATTCAATTTGGAACTGGATTCACTCCCTGGTTTAAATTTTTGGTCTTAAAAATTCTGGCATTCCCATTAGGTATCTCCTAACATATTATCTAATTTGACCTCAAAAGCAAGTTTGACTTCATTGCTGATATAGCACACAGGATGCATTGCTTTTGCAATTTTTTTTAATTTCATCTTTAAGGAGCAGGTATTTTTTAGAACTAGGTCACAGAACCCCTTTTACCATGCCTCTCCCCTGTAGATTGATAAAAGCTCAGTCATGCATAAGGTCAAACTTGTTGCTTAGCGTTCACTACAGCAGTGAATCACTGCCTTGCAGTGCCTGCCATTTAAATTCTTGTCAAAGCGAATGCCACTGCAGTTTAGAAAGCCTGCTCACTCCCATCTGCCATCAAAGCTACTACTAGTAACTCTTCTGATTGTGTATACCCCATCCATGGCCTTTTGTCCTTTGTAAGAATTGGTGTAACCTGCCCCTGCCCCTATGAACTCTGATGTGTTTGGAAAAACTAAGTATTTAATATTTAAACAATGCAGAAAACTGTTGACAGCCTCTGAAATTGCTGTGCAAACCTTCCAGAGGACATTTCTGCTTTAATATTTTTGGGAGGGAGAATTCACTTATGCTAACACATTTATGAAGTGTTCTTTTTAAATTCTCTTCACAGCCCATATGTTTAAAATCACTATCATATCTCCTAATTTTCTCCAGGCTAAATATACCAACTTTTTTCAACACCTCCTTCTAGGATTTGGACTCCCTCTAGTCTCCCACCTAATTCATTTACACTCTCTGGATATGCTCTGGCTGAGTTCCTACTTAAACGTAACATTTAGAAATGGCCTCTATTCCAAATGTTGCCTGATTGGTATACTATGCTTAAAACAGATGAATTTTAAGATTCACAGTAACTTTTTTTAAAATGATTATATTTCTACTAGCAGTCTGCTGGTGGTCCATTAAGATGCCTACTTTCAATTCCCACCTACTGCTACCAGACTAAGTTTCCACTATCTTACAGTATGGAAGTTTTCTGCAACAAATTCATTTTTGTTGAACTTCATCAAGTTATGGCTCAGCTTCAAGTCTATTAAAAGTTCTGTTTTCTTATACTCATGACTACATATCCTAGCTTTAACATTAGCAGTAAACACTTCTTCAGTTTCATGCAAGTAATTTATATAAGCTTGATGCTTTCCCAAACTCTTCCTCTAGGTTGATGCAGAGGAATTAATAAACACATGTAGCATATGATTAACCAGCAGTTAATCTACCAAGGAATAAATAATACAATTAATATTTTACTATTGTATCAATAAGGATATACAGGTAGTCCCCAGTTAAGAATGCCCAGGTAATAATTAAGAATGGAGCCTACTGTAGCAAAATTTGAGTCAAATACAGAATGATTTGAGTTAAATACACAATGGTTCAAGTTAATCACAGAATACTACTTATACAGTATTATACAATAATACTGTTTTGGCTTACATAGAAATTTGACTTAAGGACAGATCTTGGGAACGGAACCGGTTCTTAAACTGGAGACTACCTGTAATGCAAGACCATGTCAATGGCTTTGCATAAATAGTTGCTTTGATGGAGTGATTTTATTTTCATTGACTCAGACTTCTCCCCATCTATTTCTACTAAAGTTGTGGTTAAATTTCTTTCACACATGAAACTGATTATCTTCTGTGGACTAGAGGGTAGCCACTGATATACAGGAGCTCCAGATTAGTAGAGACTGTATTGGTTATATGGTTCAGTGCCTTACTCTCTTGGTCTTATGTGTAATATTCTTCCATTCTCCTAATACTTGCCATTTCTTTCTCCCTGTTCTCAGTGCACTTTCACAGGACTATCCTACTTGTTATCTAATCCTTTCAACCTTCCTAATACTGGAGACAGTTTGTTCACATTTTCTGTAATTGTAATTCTTCCTATTCTTCAGTAGGCAGGCAAACACTATACCCATCCTGCAAGTGACAGGAGCATGGTACAAAACCCTTCCCCAAGTTGCTCCAGATGGCCTGTTTCCCTCACTTCCCATATTCCTCCCAATTCTCTTTGGGAAGGAACCTATAATTTATTATTTTTAGACTTTAATATCCTGTATTTATATTTATGACTGTTGATGCTGTGTGCATGGCTTCAATTCTGCCTGAAAGGTAGAATAGTATAATCAGATGAATCTGCCACCTCCTAATATTTCATAATCTTCCCCACTAGAGTCCCGCAGAAAAGTTCCCCAGCTACTCACTCAAACATAGGATCCCAAAATGCATCCTATAGAGCTTCCTGCTTTAAGTACATTCAACCTCAGGCTTAGCTGGGTAACAAATTGGCCAAAGTTCCACCTTCACGATAAAAAAAGTTTGGAAAAAAGCATACAATCCCAAAAATATGTTGAGCAACTTGATTTTGTAAGCTGCAGAAAACAAACCAAACAACCATGTTTTAGAAGCCACAAAATCAATTCCCACGCCGCCGCTGCCCAGCTCAAAATCTAGCTTACATCTAAGGCAGAGAGGAGAAAGAACATTATTCAATAACAACAGTTAATACTTGGATTTTTAAAATCCATGACAGCTTCAAGACTAGTTCTTTCCCTTTTTGTTTTAATCCTCTTCAAATTTTCACAAGGACAGGAGCCATTATTAGTAAAGCTAAGCTTTTTTTGGTACATAGAGTTTAAAACTATGTTATTTTGAAGATTTTGTTAGAATGTTGGAGACTGCCAACTTGGTTCTCGTTCATGAATGGCTGTTTGACCAGCAGGAAGGTAACGCCCATCTTACAAGAGTGACCATTCTGTAACAACTCTTTCTTATACAGTCATATAAAGAAATACTGTAAGAATTTTATTGCTCAGAAACCATAGTAATAAAAAAGCCGAAATCATTTTTTAAGAATACCAGACCGTAATTCTATGATAAAATAATACAGCTGTTCTCAGTTGAGAAATAAATTATTTCAAACTATTGTTAAGCCTCACAGGTGTTTTCAGCAGTCTTGGATGTTCACATTTTCCCTGTTAATTTTATAATCTAAAATGAAAGCAGTGTGAATTTCAGATATTACTATCTGACTAACTGGTTCCGCACAAAGCTTGCACATCTCCTGCATCAGAAGTTGTGGTTAACATTAAATTCTAAAAATAACCACAGAGAAGGATATGCCCTACATCGAAACAAGAATTTCCTTTTGGCATATATCACAGCTTCATTTATCAATTTTCTTTGGGCTATTTTGAAAATATAATTGTTAAGCCAGTGATGAGTTTTCATTTCTTAGCTTGACCTTCCAGTAAGTCCTTAGCTTCATTAATTTTGGCTGCAACATAAGGAGACCCACCTGGTAAAGAGGAAAATACGGTTGTCATGTTCACAAGACAGACATTACCCCATTATTCTGGTAAATGACATATATATGATCAGTGAACTGAAAGTGATCCTAACATGAATATTCAAAGTAATAAAACATTTCAATCTGTCAAGAAGAAATTATTTACATAAAATGGTCCATACACAAAAATACTCTACCACATTAGCGGCAGTAATAATGAAACAATACTTCTCCAGGCTTATTAGAAAATTCTACGTTTTCCCTCATGTGCATGCACAATTTTCAGATAACAAATAACGTTAGGAAAGCAACTCAAATGCTCAAATCCAGTTCTTAACAGTTTCCCATACAACCCCCCAATACAGTCCCATTTTACATGAGGCAAGTGAACATAACCATTTAACATATTAACATCTGATTTACCTTTATCAGGATGATTCAAAAGCATGATTCTTCTGTGAGCTTCTCTGATTTTTCCTTTGTTAGCTGTAGGACTAATATTTTTTTATTATTACATAATTTCTAACTAGGAAAAATGTCAAAAACAACCAGCCTATGGATTATTTCATTTATGTCAAGTCACTACCTCATCTCACCCATATTAGACATCACAAAATGACTATCAAGGGGAAGAATTATATGCTATATTCTTGAAGTTTATGCTCAAGCAATATTTGCAAGCAACACGTTATTTTTTTTATAATTTTTAAAAATAATTTTATAGTCTAGCAACAGACACAAATAGCTTATTCTGATTGTTCTGCAGTTACATGTACAGATAAACATATTTCTTCCCCTGCCCCCATTGTTGATTCTCTCATTAGGGTAAGTATAAAATCCCTCATAACCACTCAGTTATTGAACTTCTTTGCTTTGTGAGTTGGGTGACTTAGAAATGTGACAAATTAATCTCTTTGCCTGAGAGAATGGTGTTCAAACTCTTATTCTGGAGGGATCCGAAAACTTACCATTAGCCCTCTGTCCAATCACTATCTTGGGGACCCTGCCATTAACAATACTGAAATTAAAATTGGCTATAATGTTCTGATCAGAGTTACACCCTGCATATTACCATATGCTTTTTATTATTCAAGTCATCACTACAAAAATTATACCAACTAGCATGCTTCCCATTCTTTTCTTAATGCAGTTTTCCCTAGGGAAAAAAGCCTCCTGTTATTTAACTTGGATTTTTAATGTTTATTTTACCTCACTCCTAATATTAAAGCAGCTTCCCGCTTGCTCATTTTGCTTTCGAATCCTCCTCTGTAGTAGCCACTGAAGGCCTGAAAATAAAATACGCTGGTATTACGAAAGCATTATACAATGTCACCAACAAAGAGTAAAAGAAATTAAAGACCCACATCACTTAATTATGGCAAATGGAACAAAATATACCATCCAATTACATACAGCATTGCCAAGAAGTAGAAGAGGTGACACAATTTCTTACTCTTAATGCCCTCCTGCTCAGCTCAGTTCATAAGCAACTAATCTTTTTTTCCTAGTACAGTATGAGACAAAAGTATTTCTATAAAATTGAGCAAATACTTATAATTAATTTGCATACCTTAATAAGCATAAGGCTTGTAATGGGCAAATTTGGGATCTCATAATCCTTATGTATTGAACTGGTTTTATCCAATGGCCCATGGTAACCAAAGAAGAAAATAATACTCCTGCAAAAGGATATTGAGTAAAACAAACTCACTGTTTTTGGCAGAGCTTGCAGAGCTTGCTTTACTTGTGGTTCCATTTGCTTCATTACTTGCAGTGCATAACGACCTTGAAGGAAAGGAAGGATTCCGTTTCAGCTACTTAGGGTGACATCTGCAGAACCTGCACGCACACCTAGACAATCCCAGGCCAAAATGGACAAAATGCAATGCTTCCACAGAAGCTTCCTACTATTGCAATAGGTTGAAGAGAGAGTAGGCAGAGGTCCAGTACTTCCTATCCCACTGCAAGACTTTAATTTGTTGTTTCTTCCACACAGCACTCAGATTACTAAATCCCAGGATGGACTACATACAGCACTCTCAATTATTTTTCCCTTTGCCATGCAAGATTCAAGCTCTATTTCAAAGGATCCAGTATCATTTACTATAGCAATTTGGGGGGGAAAAAAGGCAATCTATTGTAAGAATTTCACAAACTCAGCAGAGAGAAATCTAAATTAAGCAGAAGGATACTAAACGGCACATCTCTTAAAACACCATTTATGTATTATGTTTGGGCAGCAGAGATGAAAGAGCAAGGCAGATGCTCTTTAGCTATGGTATTCCTTTCCCTCAGAAAATCAAGTTTCAAGTAATTTATAGATACACAGACATGGTATTGTAATGAGAGAACAAAACATATGTGATAGACTTAGGGAAACACCTGAAGTAGGGAAGGGTGCAAGGTGGGAGAATGTCAGTTTAAAAAGTGATCCTGAAAGAGAGATGTAAGTCAGTGGGATGAGTGAAATTTCACTTCAGTCTTGAACTTAAATTCCCAGGGTTATGTATTTTTTTTAGTTTTATCAAGTTTTGTGACTGGCCATAGCCACTATGGTAGACATTTTACAAATGGATTCTCCATAATAGTCATTTTGCAATTACCTTGTGGTACTTTATCAGCATTCCAAATATGTCTCTACCCCAGAAGACTGGAAAACCCCATAACCTGTGAGTCAGTTTCCTCTGACATGACGACAAATTCTGTGACAGTGTATATCATCTTCTCATATAGGATGCAAGTAGAGGTAGTGAACTGAGGATCCATCCTCTCTTTTCAAGCTCAACAGAAACTGGATGCAATAGCTGGAGGAATGTGTTGATATATTCCTGAGTAATCCCCTAGAGCACTTTGTTGATGTCTCCCATCTTGGTGAAGATGTTAACTTAATGGTAGCACTTCAATTAACATAATATTTAAAATAATTTTGTTCCAAATTTCCACGTGCAGAAGCCACATGCAGGCAATTATGTCCAAGAATACAGATGTAATTCAAAGAGATTAAGTCATACAGAGCTAATTTACAAATTGCACTAAGCTGTAATGTAGCATTGTTTTGTGAACCCACAAATGTTGATGCAATAAACAAACTATGGTTAGCAAATTAGTGCTTTCTGCAATATGCGAACCTAGATTTATGATATCTGTTTTAAACGTTTATTGCTAAATAGTGTTGCACCAAATCTGGGATCACAATAACATATGAAATAAAATGTATTAAATAATTAGCAATAACTTACCAAAAAAAAAAAAAAAGGTTCCACTGAAAACATCTAGACTAACCACTGTCTTTCTGCTTATAAAACCATCCAAAATTACCACTGTAGACTCTTATGCTTCCCAACACTAGACTATAATTATACTATCCATTATAGGGCATATATTTAATGCAAGCAGAAATAAAGCAAGTTTTCCAAGTACAAACCTGCGTAACCAGCAGCAGCTATTGTCAGGCCAACTACTATCATAGTACCAGCCTAAAAGAAAGGAAAAAAGTAATTCTGTAAAATGAAAAAATACTAACCTCAGTACATTGTGCTTGGACACTATCAGGAGAGATTTTTTGAATATATAAAAGTATAACCAATTCCATGCATTTGAAATCATACTCAACTTATGGTCTGTGTATATATGTAGATTAGGGAATAAACCATGCAACCTAGATGTGTATGGTTTTTGAAACGTGAATACTTTTCTGTTAAAACTATGACACAAAACATTTTTGCATTCATTCATTCCTTTCTGGCTGACAGAGAGATTCTGTAATTCAGAAGCTTATATTATTATGCCAGTTTCCAATCTTATATAGATAATGGATAACTTCGCCAATGGGATTTTACTTTATCTCTTCTACCAACCCTTTGGAGCAAATCTGGGGACACATAGGGTGCTACAAACATAGCTGGGAACTATCAAGTTAATTGTTCTGTACTGAAATAACTGCATATGTATAATAACTATAAGAAAGGAGATTCCTCTCCTTAAAAGTTCTTAGAAATCTTTATTTTTATTTCAACCTTTCAACTGGACACAATAGCATTTTAAAAAATGAACAAAATATTGCTCCTAGGAAGATTTCTGTTTATTACTGGTCACTGATTTTTGACAAGACATTTTAAAAATTTCAAGTATCTATCAATAAATCATGAATTATGGCAGCCTACTTTCCAGGGTTCTTTCAGTGTGTATACAAAAATGTTTTTATGTTGCCTTTTCCAAAATAATTATACTAGTGAGCAATCACGGTTATCAATTTTAAGCCATAAATGTTCCACAGGTAGTTCTCCTTTATATCTTTAGGCAGTTCCATCGAAATGCTTATTTCTTATGCATGTGAATAACTTATACCTAAAGTTATATCAGATATAAGCAACATCTCTAAAATTGCATCATTGTAGTTCTTCCATCAAATATTATAGCACAGCAGAAAACAGCTTTTCTGCAGCTACTCATATGTCCTAAATGGGAAATAATTTATATCTAAAATTTAGTAAGATGGAATTCCATTATTTCAACAGATTTTATGTACTGAAGCATCTAGTTCCATTAGTTGGGGGTAGAATGGAATGCCTCCTAGGGCTCAAACCTCAAGGTTTGAATTTTGCTCTTAAAAGATTTTGGCTTATATCTTGATAATATTGCAGCTCTATTATATCTAGCCAATGTTACTTGAATTTTATTTAATATATTTTAGCCATTTTTCAAGGTGATAGTTTCTCCAAAGTGTTTTAAAAATATATAACAGTAAAATATAGTATTCAGTTATAAAAAAATCTGATTTTTAAATAATTTTAAAATAAGTTACTCTAAATAAAACGCAATTTCAAATATTTATCAGCAACAAATATAGTATTTTAAAAATAAAAGACAAAGAGAAGAAATGTGTTTTTAATGCCCTTTTAAAATGCTGCCAGAGATGGAGCTAGCCATCCTCTCTCTAATGATGGAGTATGTGCCCTTAGTATCACTTGCTAACCTTACAGTTTTATGCAGCGGATTGGCAAGTACGGACTCCAAAGATGAATAAAGCACAATCATAAAGCTGTAGGCAGTCCTTGAAATACCACAGACCCAAGTGAATTACAGGTTTAAAGTTATAAATTAATGCCAGCACTTTTAATTTTGCCTGGGAACACACAGGCACTCCAATGCATGTGATATGCCCGCTGCTGCAATATCATTTGAGCTTCAACAAGGGGGCAATGGGATGCATTATGTACCAGAAGCTTCTAAATAGTTTTCAGAAATGATCACATACATGCACAGCACATTACAGTAATTCAAATTATGCCTGCTTTGCCTAGATATTAATAGGTAGGAAACTCTGCAAGAACTAACAGGGTGGGGAACAAGATAAAGCTTTGTAGAAAAAGCTCAGAGCACTTCCTCAGAAACCAATCAGGCAGGTTGGGTTGGAGCCATCATAACACTGTGCTGTCTGAATTCCAGTCAGGCAAATAAAAGAAATTCACAGTGATAGTGTCAAAAGCCACTGAAAGTTCCAGGAGAATAACAAATTCAGACAATTCTTAAGTAGAGTTACAGCATTCGGTGACTAGATCCTAAAACCGGTCTTTTTGTATCATACCAATCTTTAATCCATTTCTTACAATGGCAAATGAGATATTCCAGATATTCACAAACAAAACATGTAGATTAAACTTGGGGTTGGAAAGCAAACACATTATATGCTATATTTTCAACATAAACTTTTAATATAAACTGGTTGAAGATGTTTCCACACTACCAATCCCCAAGTCTTGCACACGCACACACAGTAACTGGGAATGAAGTGAGTTATCATGGTTAATAGCCCAGCAGGTGGCAGCACCTAGCTGACCTTAACTAGGTGCTGAAAACTCAGGAAAGGTTTAACCTGGTTAGTACTTCAGTTATGACTACAAAGTCCAGACAATCATGAGATTAGATGACAGCAAAGAGATACAGAAAACTCTCTTTACTCCCTCAAGCAATTATCCAGTTTTTGCAGCCCAGATTTGGTAGTCTTAACTTGGATGGGAGTCCATCAGGGTAAACCAAGACTATGGAGTAGACTGAGAAGTTGAAAAAACATTCCTAAAGAATATGAAGAATTCAGACAGTTCTATGAGGAGAAAAAAAAAACCCTTTTAAAATTGTGACCTATGGAGCTAACAGAAAATACTGTATTGCCAAGCATAGGTCTGAAGATGAGATAGGGACAATGTTACTGATTTAACCACCACCGTAGTGCTGTGGAAATCTTAATGGATAGAGGGAGAAGTAGTGGATGGATACTGAATTTCTGTTAACTTTTGCAACTTGCCCAAGTCTTCTGAGCTGGATGGACAATAATAACTTTTAAATAAATAAATAAATGCAATGACAAACCATTCCCATACTGTGGCCAGGAAAACTACATGGCTACAGAGATGTATAAATTTACCAGCTGTTGGAGACTGCTTAAGTTCAGCAGTAAATAAATTGCACAGATCAGGTTCTATCAATGATTGGTCTGGCCATGGTATTATTCAATAATAATATTGGTGAGCAATACTGATCTATTTCACTTGTACACTTCCAGAACATTAGAATGGGCAGAACAAGCTTTATTTGTAAGGGAAAACAGTTCCACAAGGCTGAGAACCATGTCCCTTACTTCACAGAAACGGGGCTTATCCAAATGCTTCTTCCAGGAAACCTGAATGGGTGATTTAGTAGCAGAAGATGGTCTTGCAGGTATTTAGGCCTCCCTTAGGCATAAAAGTCAGCTGGGTGACTCTGGGCCAGTAGCTCTCTCTCAGCCCAACCCACCTCACAGGGTTGTTGTGGGGAAAATAAGAGGCAGGAGTATTAGATATGTTCCCCATATGGTCAAAAATATATAAAAGGCAGGATAAAGGTCTAACCATCATCAAGCCAAGAATCAGTGATAACAAGCAGGTCAGGACATTCACCCATATTCAAATCATGGACAATAGTGGTTTAACAGTACTGAACATCATCAGGGGCAGGGCAGGGGCCCCAGAAGAATCTCAACCAATTATTCCTCATTTTAGCTCCACTTAAATTCAATTTAATTCTGCTACAAGGAGAACGTCACGGCGATGGCGTAAGGGAGGCCCATTGGGCTTTGGGGGATCTGCTCCTGAGCAAACTGGGGCAGGACTCCCCGATGAGGCCCCCAGGCAAAGCAAGCCCGCTGGACGAGGCGGCTTATTTCCGTGCTGCGCCTTCCTCGCATCCCGGCGCTCTCCAGGCGAGCTGGGACTACAACCCCCAGGATTCCCGGCTACTGGTCGCCACGCAGCAGGAGGGCGCCAGGTAGAGGAAGGCCGCCCGCCCTACCGGCAACGCCGCCTCCTCCCGTCCGCAGCGCCGCCGGTGAGGGAGGGCGGCCAAGCCAGCGTTCCCACGCACTCACCATGCCTGCCGCGCTCCTTCACACGCCCGGGGAGAAAAGCAAGACGCCGGAGACCTCCCCCCGCCCTCCCTCGGAGAGGCTGAGCGCCCCTCGTCCTTCCCCTCAGAAGCCCTGCCGTAAGCCGTGGAAGGGCCTGTCGTAAAGCGCCCGCGCGCTCTTCCGCCTCTCGACCCCGCCCTGCCCGCAGGCACCGCCCACCCAGGCGCGAATTCGAACCGGGGGCACCTGGGAGGAGCGGGAGGCGCCTGGCGACGCCTGGCAGAAGGAGTGGGAGCGCGGCTCGCTCTCGCTTGTCACACGCTGGCACCTGGCTGCCCTCACCTCGGGCTTCCGTCTCCTGCCCCCCGCGCCCCAGTTACGGGAATTGGTCCAAGAGTCTGGGGTCCCAGAGTCAGGGGAGCCCGATGGACGGAGTGGTTCGGGGAGATGCGCGGTGGCCCCTGAACGAAAAGTTAATTTTCTGCCTACGCCTCAGGGAGCACTCTCCACCAACAGAAAGTGTCATGGTTTGGGCAGGGCCTTTCTCTCTCTCTCACGCCTCTCTCAAAAGCCGAGGTGCCTTTACCCATTCCCCCCCTTTAACTTCAGAATTTTGATGCCTAAAATTTTTTCCAACCATGGGAGCGTGGGGCTCAGCTTGTATACTTAATTCCTGAAAACCCATTAATGCAGAATTTTTTAGTGCTCAGAAGCAGACTGGATTCATCTGTGATGCACCTGGAGCTTGATACCAGCTGGGCAGCTCCAGAGGAGATGATGGAGGCCCCATCTTGTGGGGTTAGCTGAGGTGAGTTTAATTCTGGGAGTCCTGAGGAAAGAGACTGGATCCACTTGTAGTCAGGGCACTCCAGGTTGGCGAAAGCTTCCAGGGAGGTGATGGGAACTGGGCTGGGGTGATGGTGAATGAGTCTTTCAGAGAGGGAGTGATCAAGTATTAAAACATATTAGCCATGTGATATTTTAGATTTGTTGGTTATTATTTGCTGTTTCAGAGGTTTAGAACAGAGAGCACTGTATTACAGTGGTTCTCCTTGAAGGGAGGGTCCTGGTTGGTATGGGGGAGGTGGAGAGATCAAACATTAGGCCCCCAGCTACTTCATGTAGATGTCAAAAAGCAAGGAGAGAGGACTGACCCCTTTGGCACCCTATAGTTTGGAGACAGGACAGGAAGGCCTGGCGCAATATGGTTCATGGGGTCACGAAGAGTCGGACACGACTTAACGACTGAACAACAACAACAAGTTTGGAGACAGCCAGTAGTTGTCCAGCATCACTGGATCAAGGGATGGCCTCTTGAGGAGGGTATGGATCACAGCTTCTTTCAAGATTGCTAGGAACTTCCCCTCCAGCAACCAGGCATTGGCAGTTTCCCAAATCCAAGTGGTCACCAACCCCCCACCCTGCTTCCAGGACAAGCTGGAAGGAGCAGGGATCTAGCTGGCAGGTGGATAAAGACAACCAAGATAGCACCCTATCCACTTCTTCAGAGGTCACACGCTAAAAGAAGTCCCAGGTATCAGAACAAGACAATGCCCAATCCTCACTACAGACTCTGTCCACATGGAGTCAAGACTACAACATATCTGAGCAATTTTATCACCAAAGTGTTGTACAAATCAGCCACGGTGGCTCAGGGAAGGATCACAAAACTGCCTCCTCCCCAGAATGGAGTTCATTGTCCTGTGCAAGATTGCTGGACGACAGCCCTCTGATGCAATAACAGAGAAGTGACAGCCCCACAAGGTAGACCAGACTAAAAAAACCAATGCTATATAGGTCAGGGCTACTTTTATTGTAATAGCTATAGTAACAGGATCTTGCAAATCTGGAATACTCTTCCCCAGCACTTCTGTTGAAGAAATAGTGAACTGAAGATGTCTCTGCTAAATTGAAGAATGTAATTCCTTGTTCGTAATTCCTCTCTGGACAAGGAGAGGACTTGAGATCTCCCACAAGTGCTCCAGACAGTTGCTCCTTGCAAGGAGACTGCAAGACAGCGGTCTCTGGTGGGTTTAGAGCTCTGGGACGTGAGGGAATAGACATCTTGCTCAAACCACAGTCAGCGTCTTTAAGGACACTGGGTTCACGTACTTCCTTTTGTAATCACTTTCAGAAATTTCAGCTATTAAGAACCTTGGATTGGCAGGTTTTACAGCACTGGGTGAGTTTCCTTCAATCCTTAGCGAAAGAAGTTTTGAATACAAGTTTAGAACTTTTTTTTTTTGTTAAAATAAATAAAAGGGTGATTGGAACTTTGATTTTGGAAAGTTACAAATGGACTAAGGGTCCAGATGGATTTGAAATAAGATTTGGGAATTAATTTGATTTTGGAAAGTTACAAATGGACTAAGGGTCCAGATGGATTTGAAATAAGATTTGGGAATTAATTATAAGAATCCTTTTCATGGGAAAATGTTTTTGTTTTGAATTCTTTTAAGAAAAACATGATAGGATGGGATTTTGAAGGTTGGACACTAGAGGGAACCAGAAGGAACTAAAGATTACAA